CCCCCCCCCCCCCTCTGGGGGGCCACTGGGGCCCGCGGCGGGGGGGGGGGGCGCGGAGGGGAATTCACCAGCAGTCCGCGGCAGCCTGGAGCCCTGCGCTCATTCCGTGCTCACCGCTCGGCACTCATTGCCCATCCGGGTCCCTATGGGGCTGGAGCACCTCTGCACCCGCAAACCACGGCAGCAGCGAGGCGGGTGCAAAGCTGAGCTCCGTGCGCTGCGCTGCGAGAGCTGGGAGGGGAAAATAGAAAGCAGCTGTGTCCAGGTGCCCCCCACCCATACAGAACCACGGGGCTGCAGAAGGTGAGGGCAGGGAGGGCTGCAGCACAGCTCTCAGCCTGGAGCCAGTGAGCAGAAGGCAAAAGCCTTTCCCCAAGGCACACACCCACGAGTAGTGGTTTACCACTGCTGCGCACGGGGCTGTGGAAGCAGAAGAGAAACAAAGTGCAGAGCCACAGGATCTTTACTTTGGGTGCATCGCTTGCATCCTAATGGGCGCATCCTGGCTGCCTTCAGCCCGAGGCCAGCAAGCCGTGTGTTGTTACTTCTGTTTAGATTTCTGTATATATACACAACTCAGCCATTTTTCTACTCTCAGAGTTCCAAACCCATCCCTGCCCTGGGCACCATTCCACATCCCAAGCGTTACCTGCACAGAGCAGCAGTGGGGGAACACTGTGGGGCTGCTGAGGGACCGGGATGCCATGGAAGAGGCTCTGCTGCACGGGTTGCTTCTGCAGAATGCACAGACACCTTCAGTGGGGACAGCACGGTGACATGTGGCAGCACAGCCCTCCTACCCCGGAGCAGAGCACACTACAGGGCTGGGGCACTGCAGCTGCACCCTGTGCCCACTGCACAAACGCTGCTGCAAGGGGATGGAGAATTTTCCCAGCCCAAGTCCTCCTGCAGGGATTTTATTGCTTTATCCTCAGGGTCACCGGGCTTGGAGTAAGGAAGGGATGCTGCACAGCCTGTCCTGCTGCATCCCAGCTCAGTGCTGCTGCTCACACTGCAGGGCAGTCAGAGGCCAGGGTCTGTTACACCTCTTTGCATCCCCTCGGTCTGATCTATCGATGATGTCCCAGGTACAGAGATAGCAAGGAAGAAATCACAGTACTCTTAATGGCTGGCAGCCCTGGGAAGGGAGAGCCTCAGCCTCCATGTGGGGCTGTGGCCCTGGGTCAGGGCACGTGAAAGCAAACACAGCTCATGCCTGGAGGGAAGAACCGCTCCTCCTCACAGCTCTGCCGGGTGGATGGCAGCAAGCACAGCATATACACGCATGTGGGTATTTATAAATATGAGTACTTGTGTTTTCAGTTTAAACAACATGTTCCTGCCCCAAGCTGTCAGCACCAGACACAGAAAGGCAACACGCCAGCAAAATTCTGTCAAAAAAAAAAACACAAAAACACCACCACGTTTATTAGCAGATAGAAGCAACCTGCCATTGCTGCTGCCAGACTGAGCTCATAGAAAACCCACACCTGAGGCAACCAGCTCCTCCCAGCACCCAAACACTGGGGTATGCTTGAGGCCAGCACCCCATTCCTTCAGAGCATCCTCCTGCAGCAGGTGATGGATGCCAGCACCCAGTGGGATGATGCTGGGCATGGGGTTGCTACTGCTCAGCCCTTCACTCTGCACCCAGCACCCCATTCTGCCTTAGTAATCCAGTAATGTGCTCCCAACCTTTAATTTAAAAAAAAAAAAAA